GAGGGGCGAGTCTATCGAGCCGCACCGAAACCGCCACTGTGTGGCGAAGATTTTTGATCCAGTGAAAAAACCAGCCAGCCAGTCAGCCCTGTCCCACTCACCTTTCTATTGTAACATAAACCCATCATGTTCACGTACATTGTCATTTTGTTGTTTATTATTTTTTCCAGTCCCTTTTTGTGCTACTTCATTTTGATGATCCGATGTAACGCATTTCTGATTATGATATGACAAACAACTGAGAAGACCAGTTTGTGTTTTCTGTGCAGCCGTTCGCCACCTGGTATTGAATTGCCACAATTTCCAATGGAGCTCGTGGTGAGTCAGCGGTCATAAATAGAGATGGGTAACACACAGGCAGTCTAACGCTCTTAAACGAGTGGCGGTCGGGATATCTAGCTATGATGTATGCTTTGCACCTTCAAAGTACTTGTTCAAGACTGGCAAGAGCCTTTACTTGCACTCACCCTCTGTGGTGATCAGTTGGAAGTGGTTGAGAGCTTTAAGTCGCTCGGGAGATTGGTCGCTGTCGGAGGGGCTGTTGGGAAGAGATCACGTCACGAGTGGCGAAACTCAACCTGCGACACATGTGGTACCGCCATGACACCCGTCTGTCCCTTTAAGGAAGGGTTTACATCGCCGCAGTTCATAGTGTTCTGCTTTACGGTTACGAGACCTAGCCCTTTCCTGTTGAGGACGCTATTCGACTTTCTGTATTCGACCACCGATGTCTCCGAAGCATTGCCCTTGTGTGGCGGGAAAATCGGGTGAGCAATGACGGGGTTCGTCGTCGTGTGTTTGGTATTGATGGTGGTTCTCTAAAATAAGTAATCACCGTACACCGATTCCTATAGCTTGGTCCTCTTTTGCGTATGCCTGCCCATCGTCTGTCGTCCTGTGCTTTTTTGCACATAAGGCGGAGGGGTGGAAGAAGCGGCGGGGTGGTCAGACCATGACATGGCGTAGAGGTATGAAGAAGCTAATCTGAGCTTTGGTTTCGGTTGGTACAGACCGCCTTCCATGTTAGGGCCCAAAAGATGAAGATTATCGTTGGTTAGAGACACTAAGAGATATGACCCAGAATAGAAGTCAGTGGCAGGAATGCTGTACAGTCTGTCTGTGGAAATCCCATACCCTTTATAAGACAATAAATTGAAATTGAAATACGGTCTGATCAGCTTCCCGGTGACCGAGTGGGTAACATGCTTGCGTTCCGCCCATGAGGTCCCAGGTTCGATCCCCAGTTGGGTGGATGGATTCGCATTGCTCAGATGAGACCCAACCAGGTCAAACCAGCTGCCCAGTGCTTCCTAGCTCTTCAGTTCACGCCTCGTTTGCTACATACGGTGAATTCATCTTTGATATAAACTAACACAAAAAATATCAAATGTATACGTTGAAACAAAATTGTTTTTAATCTTGTTATCCACTGTTTTCCATTGTAGCTTTTTAATCTTTATTGTTAAATTTTCACTCTCTTGCAATCCTTAGTTCATCCAGTCAAGCATAAACTGGAGTGCAGTGATTCGTGTGTGTGTGTGTGTGTGGTTGACTGGATGAACTGAAGATTGTGAGTGAAGATGGAGTTTAAAAGCCAGTCAGTTCAGATGAGTAAAATAAATCTGTTCGTCTCTGAGTGACGCTCGTTATAGTTGTATTCATTTCAACTGATAAGTGGGAAAAGTGGTTTTCCATGGCCAAAAATACTTATCCCTTCGTGTATAAAGTTTTGACAACTCGACGAGAAATTGATGTCCTGACACTAAACAGAGTGTCATTCGGGCAACAAACTCCGAAGGGGAAATCAGCAACAACGCATTTCGATTCCGGCTGTTTGAGACCCGTTTACTGACTCTCTATTCCCTGAGTGTTTCGACCAGGCATCGTCAAACACAACAATCATATCCCCCTCGGTAAACGCATGCACAATGACGATTGTGAACTGTGATCGATGGCGCACCATGGTGATGGAATGCGCCATACCATTTGCCAAGAAATGGGTCTATTTTTTAGTTCCAGAAGAAAAACCATGATATGCCAAGTTAGTTCGAGAAAAAGCTACACTTGGTGCAAAAGGCCCCTGGGATAATCAATTATAATTGAAAGATTACGGGAATCGATCGGAGTTAAATCCGGATAGCTAACAGCACTGTGCTGGTGTTTCTCACACGTTCTACCGAGGAACGAAACCGAAAATTGGTTGCCCAGCAACACGTTTCAACTTTCTCCGAGGTAGAGTTGGGTAAAATCTAGCGAATACACCCGATCTGAACAAGTCGTCTTACGCTCATTGAGAATCGGTGTTTATGGGTGTATGTAACGGGGGGTGGGGTGGGAACGGGGAAGTTAGAGCAATTTCTACTCACGAATTCAGCAAACTTGAACCCTACGCTGTTCCCTTGTTTACTATCAGCCTACATTCGATCCCCAGGTAGAGTACGCAATTCAAGCGTGGAAGCCATGGCTGCAACGCGATCGTGAGATTCTGGAACATTCACAAAGTATGGCCACCAAAGTGGTCAAGGGACTGGAAGTCAAGACTAATGTGAGAAGACTTGAATCATTCAGGTTGTCCTCCATAAAGTATCCCCGAACTCAGGGAGACTTGAATTTGGTGTGTCATATGATGCAGAATTCTGATCACCCATGCCGAGCACTTCATTTTGTCGCTCGATACACCTCACTACGAGACTGCAGATTGACGTGATGTGATGGCTTGTGCTCCTCTCTGACCCAACGAGCCACACTAGATGGCTTTTGTCAAGTCGAAGATCTAATCACACCTGGGAGGTCGGACAAAGTCCAGTCACCTATTCCTCCAGGTTGGGAGTTCGACTAGAATTTGCGTTACAGTCGGTAGAAAATGGTGGAGGAGTAATTGATCCAAGTGAATGGGCCTCCACTTCGCTTCACTCGCTGTCTTGCGGTTAGGTTCTTGTTAGAACTAAGGGCTTTGGACGAGAACCCTAATCGTTCTCCTGCTTGTTGGTTGGATTCCCTGGCAGTACCCGTCCATCAAACCCCAATGCATATACACTGCGAGTTTGTCATTGGTCAGTGAAGTTCGCTTCTCTGTATTTCGCTCTACAATGACGATGATGATGGTGAGGGGGCACTCATTCAAACTAGTGCACCAAAAATGTCGAATTCATTCATTTGCCCTCAGAGTGTGCAGTATTTCGAATTCTCTACTGCCTCACGCTGTTTGCGCGCCCGTAATGAATTGAAGCACAAACTGGATGAAGCATTGAAGTCTTAGATTTTGACATTCGTTGCAGTGCACAAAACAAGGATCATTTGTGATAAAACAGAAATTAGCAAACGAGCTCGTTTGCGGTGATTCTTCTACAGGCTTATACATCACAATTTCTATCAAACTGTTTAGAACGGGGGGGGGGGGGATAAATCAAGACAAGTTGGAAAAGGAATAATTAACAATACAGTTGCATGACCGGATGATGTTGCTCACACACTTTGGTCCTCACACATGCGCACTGGTTCGGGTCATTAGGGGTGGGTAATTTGTGATATTCCTCATTTTTCTATGAACGGTATATCGATCCATTTGTGCTAAACTCTATGAGACAAGAAAAGTAATCGCTTGTAGGAATTTCCCATAATAAAACTCTGGCTTTGAATAAGCGTTGGGCGTTCACATCGTTTGTCACTGCTCTACTCAGTGCGGTGCTCACACGCTTGTTGGAATGCACATATCTCTGATTGAAGGCGTAACAGGGACCAACATGGTCCTTTTCTGCTCTTGGTTCAAAGAACGTGCAGACCTCATTTCAACGCGGCAAATCTGTTCGATCCTCTGAGACTGTGCTCACAAGTCCGACGTAACCAAAGATGATGCAATTGGACGACTATGAATGTTCCTCAAGGGACCTTCATCCATGTTCGTGCATTATACCAGTCAAATGGGGAAAAAAATGCTAACACATGATATCCGCATCATTACGGTTTGATTTAACAGAGCAGACTGGATTTCTGTCAAAGTGAAAGTTTTATTACGGGAAGTATTTACAAGCGATTGCTTTTCTTGTCCCATAGGGTTCAACACAGATGAATCGATTCACGGTTCATAGAAAGTAAACAAATGTCGCAACTTATCCTTCTTTCGTGCACTGCTACGGATGTTGAAATTTGAGATTTGTCAAAGCTTCATCTAGTTTGAGCTTGAAGGAATCAAGTGTGGGCGCAGAAACAACGTGTGGTGGCAGAAAATTCCATGTAGTGCACACTTTGATGGTGTATGAATGACGCCGGCATTTTGGATGAGTGCCCCCTGAGTTGATTGTTTGTCGACAAGGTGAACAGTGAACGACATGGGTGATCAGGTTTCAGCAATACTGTGTGTAGTACAATTGCAGAGATTCCAGTCTTTCCGCGTAACTCTTGGAATACAGTCCCTTGACCACTTTGTGGACGTTCCAGAATCTTCCGATCGCGTTGCAGCTATGGATTCCACACTTGAATTGCATACCATGTATGGGGCCAAATGTAGGCTGATAGCAGCCATGGAAACAGTGCAGGTTTAATCTTGCCAAATACTCACTTTAGCAAACCAATAGGTCTTACAGCGTTGGACGACGCCATGGATTATTTGAAAGAACGACTTAGGTTGTCTTGGTCAATGACACCGAGATCCTTCTCATTCGAAACCTACGGAATTTGCTGATCTCCCAGGAAATACGAGACCCGAGTTTTGTGGCGAAAGGATACGACCGTCATTTTGATGCTTTAAATTCAATGTCGTTTTTGATTGACCATTGATAGGCAGCATTAAGTGCCATGAAGTGCACGCGATTCCTCTGGTTATATCCCCGTTTTCCATATGTTTGCATCGTGTGCAAACATTACTGTTTGTAGCTCCAGACTGTTCGTTTATAAACACAATGAAAAACTGGAAAGCCGAGAAGTTTGCTTTGGGACAAAAATAGATGAAAATAAACCGCTCCTTAAAGATTCGGTGGTGGATGGCAGTTCTGTGAGAAGTGGAAGGTTAGAACGACGGGTATTTTGTTGTCTATGAACGATTCAGTTTGTTACGCAGCATACGCAGACTGACACGAGTGTTGCGACCTGAAAGATCGAAAGATGTCTTGATATCCATGTACCGATATCTGGCCAGAATCTTGACTAACAAGGAACAAGTTATAAACGAACAACGTCAAGCCTTAATTTACAATTAATCAAACGTCGGAGATGTTTTTTTACACAGCATTCTATTCTTATCTTTTCTCCGGTGTGACGATCAGTGTACAATTTTTAACTGAAATGTAAGCCTACTAAGCTTGCAAAAGATATAGACATAGAAATACAAAACTGTCGGTAACAAATGCATGAGAACATCGTTAACTTACAGGTCTGTCCAACCGCATAGATCTGAGTTTAAAACTCCCCAATCACAAAAAGGCGCAACTTGTGACCTGACTTTTGTGAACGGCACTCAGTTGAACTTATTTCACATTCGATTTACATCGCTCTCTCCCTCTCTGTGGTGGTAGTGGTCTCATTACCATGACAAGTTAAAGGTTACAAGGTAGGATACCTAGTTGTCTGTGAAGGAATCAGTTCGTGACCTCATCATTCTTAGAACAGGAACATGCTTTACCCTGTACGGTCGACTGATATCAAAAGATACGCCTAACGTGGGCACTGTATCAACACCAATCAAGCGTAACACAATGGAGTAAGCGGTTTTATGGACTGATGAAGTAAGTTTAAACCACGAGTGATGTTAGTTCGTGGGATTAAAGCCTGAACATCGAAGAAACACTGGTACAGTTCGGGCGTTCTAACTGAATTGGCACTTCGGTGGATTAGAACAATAATAGGCGAACGTCCACGTCATTTCCCCGTCATCTTGAGCATGTATTCGTCTAAGAGAGAAATGCATCGGTTCAAAACTGCAATCGTACTCGCGCTGAGATCATGCACTTCCTAACAGTGCCTGTTTATTAACTGAAAAACGGGGCCGTGGACTTACAGATTCAGTGCATCACAGTCAGTAGTACTCGTCAGTAGTGCGATGTGGCTTCAGAGTTTAAATCAGAATTTTGAAAGAAGACAACCGCAAAAGTATTTTTTCTTCCATTATTTGTGTATATGCATTCACGGTTGGGTCACATTTTATTAGACATATATATATTTATATATATGACAGTTTGGTAAACAACGATGTTGATTGTTGTTTTTGTAGCTCGGGTGGTATAAAGTCTTGTTTCAATAGACCGGGAAACACTACAGGGGAGCAGTAAAGTAAAACAGGGAGAACGCATTGTTTAACAAAAGAGAACAAAATTTGTCCGGGGTGGGGTGGGGGGTGGGGTAAGATGCGAAATTGTCCGAGCTTTCGGAGCTGAAAAGAGAGGGGCCGAAGTTTTCCCATACAGTTCTGAATGTGTATCGACTACCGAAAATTATTATCCATAGTAACACCCAAATATTCGGCTGAGGTCACTCCAGGCACAAAGTTAATTTTAGGGTTTAGAGAGTTTGGCGGGAATGTAGAGCGGAAAGAACTAGAAATGCACTTCAAGCACTAAGATGTGTTAGGATTGGGACGAGAATGCTTGGAAAACTGTCAGTTGCGGGACAGATTTTCAGTGAAAGAGGGAAATTCTGAAGAACAAGAAACAATCTGACGTAAAACAACAAAATCAGAATAATTTTTGACATGAGCAGCTCGGGGTAAATTTCAATTTGGCACAAAATCGATCTCCGAACTGGAGAGTGCAACAAACAAAAAACCTTTGAAAAAATGTTTCCCCAGATATTCGCAATAATCAGCTATTGTATGCATATCTCACTATTTCATAGATTCCCATTCTGAAATGAAGCCCGTAAATCGATGAAGTCCAGAAATGATGTTCACTCAGGCTTGTACAACAATATTCAGCCAGTCCGTATAAAACGGAAACATTTATTTCCGGAGTAATACTTGAGGAACAGAACAGAACAATAAAGCTAGTGATTCATGCCAATGCAAATTGCACTGCCCTTCAACCGGTACAAAACTACAGTTTATATCACGGAACAGTATATCACATTACACACGAATACGACAAAGCCGAATCATCAAAGTTTTACCACCATAAATGACAGTTCTTTTTGCATGCACAGGCCAGATTTCCATTTCCCAATTGTAACTAACTCCGCGAACCAAAGCAGCCAGGGATCCATGTTATCACTAATGATCCTAGATCGGCTTGTCGAGTCCGGACAATGATGTGTCATCCACAGACCTCGATCGATAGATAGATCAGATTGTTTGTGTTCGACGTACTTGGGTAAAGGTGAATTCTATTTTAGTTTTCATTTGTTTTTCCTTTTCACTTCTTTCTATTGAAAACATTGAATGATATAATTTTCAGGAAGGAGAGAGCGCACAGTCAAAGGGATACCATACAGCAATCAATAGGGGGAAGTCAAACGGTGATGGTGTGATTGAAACACATGCTCTCCGGAACTATAATTTGCTGTGCTCGGTATTAGTGATGGGTGTTGCTTGGGTGTGTGTTTGAGGGTCAAATTGAAGAATGACCTTTGACTAACAGATTCAGTTCATCGGCATATAACCCAATATTGGACATGCTCGTGTATCCGAGTAATAATAATGAAAATAACAATCTCTTTTTGCTTCCTATTTTAATTATTGAATATACAAATTTACGGTCAACCTTCAGGAAAGGGGGCCGCGGCCATACAATCGCTGCCTGNGTGGAATGGTTCGAACCGGGGACTCCCCGGGGTCACAAGTTGGTGACCTAACCAGTTGGCCACTACCGCCCAAATGCAAATGCCTATCTGTTCTGCTCCGTATCCACACTTAATCCGGTAATTGACATGTGATTCGGTGAACATTGGCAGGGGTTGCTTGTTTGATGACTTGGGGATGCGTAAGGTTCTCTACAGTACGACTGAGTAGGCAGCACTAGGAGTGCGTCTTACCACAGTTTTCAATCGGTCATTGAAAATTAGGCTGATAGCCTCACCGTTCAAGGGAAGGCGAATGGAGACCTCTGTAGTTTGCGACGTCGTATATTGCTGGATTTTGCTCCGATCAATCATATTATCACTATCTTGGCAAAGGTAAAAATGTGACGACAGTGCACTGTAGTATTCTTGTGTAACCTGATGTACATTTCTACGAAATAAATTGTAAATTTCTGCCGTATCATACCAGTTGAGATGCCGCACAATATGCCTTGGCGTAAATCCTGCAACGCAGGCTTCGTTGTGCTATATTCTTTATTCAAAGTTTCAGTAAGTTGACAATCAGTCATTAATCGAACACGATAAACTTAGAGGCTACTCAACCTAGGACATGGATGTGTCTGTATATGTCTCCATATGTGACTCGATCTCAGCGCACGACCTACGCCAGTTTATTGATTTCGCCTTCCAGTTCGGTAAAGTTCAATCTTGCGCTCAGAACTGGAGGGAGCGCGCACACACACACACACACGACTGGGGTTGGTGAGAGAGGAGAGTGGAGGAGACAATTTCTGTGATCAGTCTACCGTGAAACAAAACATTGATCAACGGAGTGTGAGAGAGCTCCACAAGTCCACCAACCGGATAACTGGTAAGACGGATTGCAATCAATCCGGGGAATCTGAACTTTTGTTCGCGATGAATAAGTCAAACTGATCACCTTGTCACCTCAGTCCGTCAATCCGGGTGGTGAGTGCTCATAATGTGCATCTGGAATTGATTATGCTGGAAAATCGATTGCGTTTCATAAACTCAGTAGGAAGGGAATGTCTCGATTTCCCCTCTCCCATCCCAACATTCACTATTTCTGCCATGG